AGGATCAAGATGCCCAAGAGGGGAGTGAATTGGGCTAATTCTAAATTTCTTTGCAATAATTAAGTCCTACGGTTAGCCCAATTAACCCCTTGTGCCCAGAAAGTGTTTCTATTGAACCAACGCATAAAAGACTTGCAACCTAAGTTCCAATCCTACTCTAGCATGATAATTCTATGAATGTAAGAACAAGAATTGAATTGCTCAAAGTAAATGCTCAAAGTAAATAGAGAGGAGAGGAAACACAGCAATGTTTTGCCAAGGTATCGAAGAGTCACCACTCCCCACTAGTCCTCGTTGGAGCACCTGCGCAAGGGTGTAGCTCCCCCTTGATCCGTGCAAGGATCAAGTGCTCTCTACGGGTTGATTCTTCGACACTCCGTCGCAGTGAATCACCCACAACCGCTCACAATGTGAGTTGGGTCATCCACAAGCTCTCCGGATGATCACCAAGCTCCCAATCACCACCAAGCCATCTAGGTGATGGCGATCACCAAGAGTAACAAGCACGAACTCTCACTTGACCACGACAAGCCTAATGAGATGGGTGGATGCACACTTTGCTACTCTTGATCTCGCTAATTAGGGCTCTCTTTGGGATTCTCAAATCTCAATCACCTCACTAGGACCTTGCTCTTCTTGGCACTCTCAAATGTGTTTCTCAGCTGTTGGAATGAGCAAAAGTACCCTCACACACGAGTGGAGGGAGTATTTATAACATGGGCTGAAAAATGAACCGTTATGTGCCTCTGCGGGGTGACCGGACGCTCCAGTCATGTTGACCGGACGCTCTGGTCAGTACACCCCGAACTCTAGTGTTTACAGTGTGACCGGACGCTGGCCAGCGTCCGGTCAGCACTGACCGAACGCGTCTGGTCATGATTTTTCCTCTCTGGAACCTTACTAGAGTCGACCGGACGCTGGCTCTCAGCGTCCAGTCGCGCCAGACGCATTCTCCTTGGTCAAATGAACTGACCGGACCCTGAGCCAGCGTCCGGTCAAATCGGAACCAGCGTCCAATCAGTATTTGACCCTCCATTCACTTCCAACTCTCGATCATATGTGAATGAAGTTTGCTCCAATGGATCTTAGGCATATTTAGGAGCTACCTAGTGCTAGTTTCAACAAGTGTGCACCACACCTAACTCACTAGACTCACCTAGGTCAAGCTACCCGTCCATACCCCCCTTAATAGTATGGCCAAAGGAAAAACAAAGTCCTAAACTACTATAAGTGTCACTCCAACTCCAATTGACACTTAGAACTAGTCCATCCTTAACCTCGTCGTCCATCCTTTGAAAACCAAAATGATTTCCATCATAGGGGCATGACCACCTTGTTTGCCCAATCGATCTCCATTACCATGACCTAACTTAATTGCCTCTGCAAAACACACATTAGTCATAGTAATCTTGTATTGTCATTAATCACCGAAACCCAACTAGGGGCCAAGATGCTTTCAGTGACGTAGTCACGTGGTGCTAGGGTCAGAAAGTAGAAGACCAGCCGAGCAGGCAGCCAGTCCCCGGGCGTAGCCTCGAGATGAGAAAAGCGCACATTCACCCCAAGGTGAAGTGTGCCCACTTAGTCCCCAAGCCTGCTGGAAGATGAAGAATAAATCTTGTAGCAGGGTCAAAGAAAAAGAAGTCTGAAAGCTTTGCCGACGTCATCCGACATGCGCGTATCAAGACCCCAGACGTGCTGCCCAAGATCAGCACCCTGATCCGAACAACATGGAGCAACTTGATAGCACACCGATGAGACGTAGCAAGATCCGAGCAGCAAGGGAGTCCCCGGTGTCACTGGCGATGACCGAGTTTCGAGGAGCGAGGAGTCCCCGGCATCGCTGGCGATGTCCGAGCACCGAGGAGCGAGGAGTCCCCAGCGTCGTTGACGATGTCCGAGTACCGAGGAGTCCCCGACATCGCTGGCGATGTTTGAGCACCGAGGAGCGAGGAGTCCCCGGCGTCGCTGGCGATGTCCGAGCACCGAAGAAAGAGGAGTCCCCGGCGTCGCTGGCGAGGTCCGAGCACCGAAGAGCGAGGAGTCCCCGGCGTCGCTGGCGATGTCCGAGCAGCGAGGAGCGAGGAGTCCCCGGCGTCGCTGGCGATGTCCGAGCACCGAGGAGCTAGGAGTCCCTAGAGTCGCTAGCGATGTCTGAGCACCGAGGAGTCCCCGACGTAGCTGGCGATGTCCGAGCACCGAGGAGTTCCCGGTGTAGCTGGCGAGGTCCGAGCATTGAGGAGTCCCCGGTGTAGCTGGCGATGTCCGAACACCGAGGAGTCCCCAGCGTAGGCGGCGATGTTCGAGCACCGAGGAGTTTCCGGCGTAGCTGATGATGTTCGAGCACCGAGGAGTCCCCAGCGTAGCTGGCGATGTCCGAGCATCGAGAAGTCCCCGGTGGAGCTGGCGATGTCCGAACACCGAGGAGTCCCCGGCGTAGGAGGCGATGTTCGAGCACCGAGGAGTTCCCGGCGCAGCTGGCGATGTCCGAGCACCGAGGAGTCCCCGGCGTAGCTAGCGATGTCCGAGCACCGAGCAGTCCCCGGTGTAGCCGGCAATATCCGAGCACCGAGGAGTTCCCAGCGTAGCTGGCAAGGTCCGAACACCGACGTAGCTGGCGAGGTCCGAGCACCAGCGTAGCTGGCGACGTCCATGTGGTGAAGTGTGCCCACTTAGTCCTCGAGCACGAAGAATCCGAGCGACGAGGAGTTCCCGGCGTAGCTGGCGATGAAGCACGAGCGACAAACAGTCTGGTCAACTGGCCGTCGGCGAAGTGAGCATTGAGTAGAAACGACCGGAGAACAGTCCAATCAACTAGTCGGCGACGGAGTCCATGAACCAAGCGGTCCAACCAGTTGATCGGTGGAGAAGTCCGAGCACCAGGTGTCCGACCACCTGGACGATGATCTTGCAATACAAACATGTAGAACGGGTAGTACATGATGTAAAGATATATAAAGTCCGGAGAAAAAATAGCGCGTATGTAGCTCGGCGATCAGTTGGAGCGAAGATGTATTTATATTTAATATAAACCGCCCAACCAGTTAGTGTGTAGCTGAGTCTCCAGCCCTAGCTAGCCCACAATCCATAACGTCGAGCGCGGAGCCCGTGCACGTGTAGGAGGAACAGGCGTCACCAAGGAGCCGCTGCCGACCACCCATAACGCAGAGGGCAGATGCTCGTGCACGTGTAGGGAGGAGCCGGAGACAGGGGGGAGGCGTCCGAGCATCAACGTGACTGTTCGGGGGTCCGGAAAATCGTTTGGAGAGCAAACATGGAGAAAACAGCTTGGAGAAACATTATGGCGATATACGGAGATTGGAGAATATTTAGAAGAATATTAAAGCTTGACTTAGCTTTAGACAGAACGTCTGGTCGGCGGCGTATGGCGTTATCTGGTCGGTGTTGACGCGGCAGGCGATTGGAGCGAGTACTCCGGCGATGTCGTCCTTATATTAGTGGTCGGCGACTTGGGCAGATCGGATACGGAGAGATCGTTGTCGTAGCCGCATTCAATCTGATCGGAGAAGCGACGCTGCATGACGGGCTCGGACTGCTCGATGCAGTCGGATAAACGCGTGGAGTCATACGTGTAGTCGTAGTCGAACGAACGTAGTCGGAGTACGTGTACTGTGCAAAGGCTGGAGCCTACACAGGCATGTGGAATCTGGCGTAGTTTGACGAAGACCAGAGCACGGGCGTGGTGAAGTTGTCGACGAAGGCGACCTCGGAGGTGGTTCCGAGATCGGATCTGCTGTCGCGGGGGCTGGTGTAGCCAGCGATGAATCGTCGTCGTGGACCGGCATAGATCTCCACGAGATTGATTACGAGAACGCGCTGTTGATTTGAGGTCCATCTGGCTTGCCATGGATCAAGCGCACACCCCTACCTGGCGCGCCAACTGTTGACAAAAGATGCTCGGCAGTCCACCGAGGGGTATCCCACGATGGTAGATTTGTCGTAGAGGTGAGCGAGATGGTAATACAAGCACCAAGACACAAGATTTAGACATATTCGACCGTCAGTATAACGTAATACCTACATCATGTGTTCTGATGTATTGCATTGAGTTGTATCGATCGTGTCCACTAGAGGACCCCTGCCTCTCCTTATATACTCTGGAGGGGTATGGTTACAAGGAAAGTAGCCTATTTAGTACTATACAATATCTTACGGTGCACGCCGAACAGCGCCGTGCACGCCTTGATCTTGTGGGCTAAGCCACCTCTGATGGTGCGGCACATGTCTTGTCTCGTGGATATCGGGGGCCGTACCCCCACAAAGATAGTGCACACATTTCTTGAGTTATGTTGTACAGTTTGCTGGGTGCACACATTACTTGAGTTATGTTGAAGAAAGCCAACAGTTTGTTCAGGTTCAGTATTTTAGCATGGAATTTCAGAAATAGTAGACAGTACAGTTCAGTTCCATGAAAGCAATCATACCTTCTTTTCTAGAGATCAGCGATGTCAGGCCTTGTTTTGTTCACCTAGCAATAGCATAGCAGCAAAATGCTATTCTGATGTAGTGCATTTTAGATTCACAATACTTGCTCGAATCTAATTTCTTGTTGAATATTCTATGCATGGTTACGAGCACTGTGCAGCAGTAATTTTTGCATCAGGGTGTAGATTTTGCCTGGCAATAAAGATTTGAGCGAAAAATTATTGAATAACACTTTTGTGTCATGTAGAGACGAGGTGTTGTCATCTTGAATTTATAGCATCTGCATCTGTACAGGAAGCCATTTTTGTCATTTGCTGTTATAACATACATCTATAAAATTAATGGATGCAACTATTAAAATATTAATTGTGAAATGTGAGAAATCGAATAGTGAGATGACCCATGGAGAAGAATACCTGATCACAGAACATTACATTAGCAACAACACCTAAATTTTCAACAATCTTCCTACTCCCTCACCCAACGGCTATGGCAATAAAGCATCTAGGTATCCCAAAAGAAGACACAGGATTGACCACAAAGTGGCAGGGGCATCATTTCTTCTGGGCAGCAGCCTTGGTCACCTTGGCACCAGTCGGGTACTCGGGTCCTTCTCCACGCTCTTGATGACTCCAACAGCTACCGTCTGCCTCATGTCACGGACAGCAAAACGACCCAGAGGAGGATACTCAGAGAAGGTCTCAACCACCATGGGCTTGGTGGGTGGGAATCATCTTCACCATACCAGCGTCACCGTTCTTCAGGAACTTGGGCTCCTTCTCAAGCTCCTTGCCAGACCGCCTGTCGATCTTGGTAATGAGCTCAGCAAACTTGACAGCGATGTGGGAGGTGTGACAGTCCAGCACTGGGGCATAGCCGTTGCCGATCTGCCCAGGGTGGTTCATGATGATGACCTGGGACGTGAAGCTGGCAGCCTCCTTGGCAGGGTCATCCTTGGAGTTGGAGGCCACATACCCACGCTTGAGATCCTTCACAGCCACGTTCTTCACGTTGAAGCCAACATTGTCACCAGGAAGGGCCTCCTGGAGAGCCTCGTCGTGCATCTCAACAGACTTCACCTCAGTGGTCAGGCCAGTTGGACCGAAGGTGACAACCATCCCAGGCTTGATGACACCAGTCTCCACACGACCAACCGGGACAGTTCCAATACCACCAATCTTGTAAACATCCTGGAGGGGCAGACGCAGAGGCTTGTCCGAAGGCCTCTTGGGCTCGGTGATCTAGTCAAGAGCCTCAAGCAGGGTTGGGCCCTTGTACCAGTCAAGGTTGGTGGACCTCTCAATCATGTTGTCACCATCAAAAACAGAGATTGGGACAAAAGCAATCTTGTCAGGGTTGTATCCAACCTTCTTGATGTAGGATGAGACTTCCTTAACAATCTCATCGTAACGGGCCTTGGAGTACTTGGGAGTGGTCGCATCCATCTAAAAATACAACAGCAACAGAAAATATCATTAACATTAGCTTGATTCTCCAGAGCAAGGGCATTGTATTAAGCTTGGAACAGAACACTATCATTAGCTTAATAGTACAGATCCAATAAAAAGCAAAGCAAAATGAATCCATGCGAGAAAATATCAATCAAAATTAACTGGTACACCACTCTTTTTTTCAGGAATAAACTTGTTACAGTTACATCGCAGCAGCAACTACTAACAATAAACGCATAAATAGGTAAATCACCACATATCATAATTCACAAATGTAACAAACATACAAAGTCCAGGTTGTAACAAATACAAAGCACATACCAAAGTACAGAGCTCACAAGGTATATGTCAATGCATCCTAATATTAAACTGTAACAGCAGCACATTTAGTAACCATACCAAACAAATTAAGACAAATAAATGCTGCTACACTTGTACATGCATTCCTTATGCACTACTACTGTTCCAATAACTTCAAAAAATAACTCAAAACAATTGAATGTGAAACTTATATTAAAATTATTGAGGAAATCTTTCAGACAAGTAAATTAACTACTAAACATGAAAGAAACAGAAGGTTAATGAAAGCTCAAGCCATTAATTGACTTGGCAAATTCTGTATAACTCAAAACCTATTATATTAGCATCGAACCCTACAGCTCACATACTATTAATTGACTCAAAACCTATTAATTGACTTGGCCATTAATAGAGTTTTAACTAATGAAGAGTGAAACAGAAATTCCTGATAGCATACCTTGTTGCAGCAGCAAATCATCTGCTTCACTCCAAGGGTGAAAGCAAGGAGAGCATGCTCATGGGTCTGGCCATCCTTAGAGATACCAGCCTCGAAACCACCAGTGGAGTCAATGATAAGGACAGCACAGTCAGCCTGGGAGGTACCAGTGATCATGTTCTTGATGAAGTCACGGTGTCCAGGGGCATCAATGACAGTGCAGTAGTACTTGGTGGTCTCGAACTTCCACAGAGCAATATCAATGGTGATACCTCTCTCACGCTCAGCCTTGAGCTTGTCAAGCACCCACGCGTACTTGAAGGACCGCTTGTTCATTTCAGCGGCCTCCTTCTCAAACCTCTCGATCACACGCTTGTCAATGCCTCCAAGCTTGTAGATCAGGTGGCCGGTGGTGGTCGACTTGCCAGAGTTGACGTGGCCAATGACCACAATGTTGACGTGATTCTTCTTCTTACCCATGGCTGCAGCATAAAACAAATCAATAGTAAGAAACAAAGTATGGGATAAATCAGGCAGGAAACGGCATATGTTGCTGTTTCAAAGTGAAATAAAACAGATAATATATACAGATCGAAAAGGGAAAGTTGATGCTGCACACAAAGGAACATTAAGGAACAACAAAACTACTGGCACACGAAAACCATAGAGAGCACCTGGCCATCCCTCCACTTCTAAATTCACCAATTCTTAGGCACAGACAGAACTAAACCACTGAGGTTTTAGTACACTGGACCAACAGAACAACAATGCAGACACGTAGCAGCAGCAACAGTACAGATCAGTTGCAATCGAGCAATAAGCATATCAGACTCAAGACTATCAGCTATTAAATATTCTACTGCATGGACTAGCACATTTCATCACACAAAAACATCATAAAAATAAAAAAAGAAAGTGTTACTAGGCTTTAATATTTGCATTAGAAAATTGCTAATGTGTTACTGGGTAGCACATGCACCTTTGGCCTTCAAGGACACCAGCGCCCTACTCCTGACAGCATGGGCAAACAGGATCTCCTTGTAGATATTCAAGCATGTCCCCTTATGGAGCTTACGTTCATACTTGTGTGCTTGATCCACCAATGTGCTTGATCCACCAATGTACTTTTCATATCTTCCGACAACATCTGGAACAACAATGGTTTCTCACATTGCACACGGTGACAGTTTTTAGTAAATGCACAGCCGTAAGCTTATTGTACATCTGGATAGCATTACTGTTTACCTCATTAGAAGTGCCAGTTTCGATTTCATCGTTAGGGTAAGATAGTAATTTAAGGGCAGCAGCAAGTTTTTGTAGATCCCAATTCTGACAATCAATACCAGATACCTCCTTCAGATATTCACCATCACGGTGCAAAAACTCAGCAAACCTATTCACGTGGTAGTCAGACTCGTACACAGCAGTTGCTATAGTGATAAGATCTTCATCGACCTGCACATATGGAGTGGGCTCAAAGTAATGATACAAGAAAACAGAAAGCACCGATCTGAGATATGGGAAAAGAAGAAATGAGCTCACCATCCCATCTCTGGCTCCACCTTGAAGCCATAGTTACTCAGGATCAATTGCATTCCTTTACTCATATGGCGGCGGTCCTCCGTAGTCAGCTCACATGTTTCAGTGGGCACTAAACTCTTCATTATGTGCTTCAGGCCCCACATCAATTCCATCACGGGTTCATCAAACAGGCAGTGTATTTTCTGAAAAATTCACGAGAAATATGACAAAGACACAAGACTTTCAGACATAAGTAAACAAGGGAAGCACATACTCACCAATTTTGCTTCAATGATCGTTTTGTAGTCACTGTTCCCAACAGCAAGTTTCTGCCCACTGCTATAATGCGACCTGATCATCTTAACAAGCTTGTAACTGAGACCAGTTTCAAGGTTGATGGCAACAGACTTGTCCTTAAATATTTGAAAATCTAGCAGGCAGACAACCTAATAAATAAATAAACAAACATATATTAGTATGGTAACTGGGAGGTTTCAATCACGATACAAGGGAAGGACACTTCAGTAGATGTAGCATCACATGTAAGTCCTCAATCCTCATACATCGAATTATTGTAGCGCAATTCAAAACAATGTAAGTTTTTGAAAACAAAATGCAGTGTTCTGTGGTAGAACCAATCATCCAAGCGCATCTACAGGTGCATAGCAATACCATCACAGGTTACACCCCATGCCAAATGTGCATGCATGTGATATGCATGATTGCGTCACACAACATGCTCTAAACAACCTGGGGAAAACATATGTTTTGAACTGTTAAATTAGTAAACAACAAACAAGCTCGTTCATTATTCCCTTTAATCAATGAACAGAAGAGCATAAATAGGAATTAGGACATGTAGGACATAAGGGCTACTGACAGTGTTTCCCCTTTCATTATTCCCTTTAATCAATGAATAGAAGAACATAAATAGGAATTAGGACATGCAGGACGTAAGGGCTACTGACAGAGTTTCTCCTTTTCGTCGTAAACTGTACCCATGTGTCCTGCAGAAGTTTGAGAAAAACCAGGAAAATTAGATCAATTATAAAGACGACGACGACGACAACAACAACAACATAGCCTGTCAGTCCCAAGCAAGTTGGGGTAGGCTAGATCAATGATAAAGACAATAGAAAGAAAGTGCATTGGTAAAACAATTAACAAATCAAAGTACCTTCAAGGCTCCACAGCGAAAGAGATTGACGCCATTATATTTCAGCAGTGCAAAGCCAGAGGGCGTCTCAAACAGCACCAAGGTGACCCCACCATGCCCTAACCAGTTTGCTGGGAACAGAGAAATCAAACGAAATCAGGCAAGCAAGAATAATTAAAGCTTTAATTCAGCCGTGGATCAGAGGCTGGATGCCTTCAATCCTGCCAGATCCGCGGCAGCAGCCTGACCACTGCATCCCCGTCGCTCACGCTACCAGCAAACCCCTCCTGACCACGGGCAGCTCTGGGAGCTCTGGGGACGCCCCCGTCGGGGGCGGCCCGGCCACCGACCCTCCACAAATTTAAGCCCGACCTACTTCCGAAAACTTGCAAATGGAAGGGAACGGGGATTTTCGGGTCTGTGGAATCGAACCAAAATTAGTTTCGTATAAGCACATAATCGAACTCGCTTAGAATCTCTGTACTATGTGGGGAATGCAAGTTCTACGCTAGGGTAAGGCTACGCTCTAGGGTTTCATTTCTTATCCTCCTTCCGGAGTGGGTGGATTGAGAGAGGAGTATGGAGACACACCTATGTCAGCGCACGAAGATTCCTCCGGGGGAGGAGGAGGAGGAAAGGATGGCGGAGAAGCGGGATGACCGCCACCGTGCTTCCCTGCTGCCGGTCGCCGAGATTTGTTTTTTCTTGTCATGAGTCCGAGATCTATATTTCGAGAGTTGAAGAAGAGGCTTTGCGGGTGCGATGGAACTTATAAGGGAAATTCATTGCGTGCCATTAAAAATAAAAAGATCACATTGTTCAAGTTGTCTCTCAAAGAGTTCAGCGGTTTTCAGCGTTATTGTTCCAATTTTTTTTATGCCTTTGATATCACTGTCATTAATTTGGGCTCTAACGTCTAAAAAGTCGAAAATACCCTTAGATCTAAATATGTCATTATTTTTTTTGAACATCTTAACGACTTCAAATGAAAAAACTCAAAACTAGAAAGTTGTAAATCTCGTCGAGATCTATAATTTTCATATAAAAATTATCTTCATTTAATTCTGTAAAAAAATATGATTTCATATGATTAATATATCTTAGAAAAATCATATCTTTCAGACCCGATAGGAGCCCCGGGTGATACGGGCGGAATCGTTCGGGAGATTTTTGTCTTGACGGCGGCCGCGGATGTAGCCCCTGAGCCCCGGGCGATTCGGGCTGAATCGTCTGGGGGGTTTTCTGTTTTGTCAGCGGGGGAGGTTTTTATTTCGTCGGCGGGTGCGTGCGAGTGTACCCACGGGTGTAGCCCCCGAGCCTCCGGACGGTTCGGGCGGAATCGTCTGGGGGTGTTCGGTAGTGAGCGTGTGTGCGTGTTTTTTCAGTCGAGGCGGAGTTATCAACCAGGGCGTCGTTGCGCAGTCGTGGTGTTTAGTCGTTTTAGAGATTGGGTGAGATAGAGCTTGCGGATCCTGGCGTCGATGCGCGCCGTAGGATTTGGTGAGGCAGTTAGTTTAGTTAGTTTGGGATCGGGCGAGCCGGAGCTCGTAGATCCTGATGGGGCGAGATCGAGGTCACAGACCCAGGTTGTTTTTGGAGCGTAGTCGGGGAGTAGCCGGATGGGGCGAGATCGGGGTCGCAGACCCAGGTTATTTTTTGGAGCGCAGTCGGGGCGTAGCCGGATGGGGCGAGATCGGGGTCACAGACCCAGGTGTTTGGAGCGCAATTGGAGCGTAGCCAGATAAGGCGAGATCGGGGTCGCAAACCCATGTTGTTTTTGGAGCGCAGTCGGAGCGTAGCCGGATGGGGCTTGATCGGGGTCATAGACCCAGGTGTTTGGAGCGCAGTCGGAGCGTAGCTGGATGGGGCAAGATCGGGGTCGCAGACCCAGATGTTTGGAGTGCAGTTGGAAGGGACAAGTTCGGGGTCGTAGACCCAGGTGTTTGGAGTGCAGTCGGAAGGGGCGAGTTCGGGGCCGCAGACCCAGGCTTTTTGTGTCTTGAGCCTCCGAGCCTTGTTGGGTCTTAGTAGGGGTCGGTGTGAGTTGTGTGCGTTATCCCATCCTCGGTTCCTCACAACTGGAGGGGCTGAGTTTTGTCGCTTGTCCCGATCGCTCGGGCTCGAGTGATGCGCTCGGTGAGTTTGCTAACAGGTATGATCAAGTGAAATCCGGGTCCATCGTTCATGACGGGGTCGGCATAGCCCTCTTGTGACATTCCACTGCTCCTTTACCTGCAACCTGGTAGATGCCTGGGTCGTTCCGGAGACCGACCCAGGTGGCCTAACGGCCTCCCCTCGATGGAGATTCTGTGGGCTTGGCAAGAGGTTCAGGATCGAACGAGAAGGTTGAGATGACCCTGTCTGCCAGACTAGGCGAGGGCCTCACAGGGCTCATCTGCGTTTTTCTCCCCTGGCTCTGTTGGTTGTTCATGTCGAATAAGGCAACCGCCGCATCGTGACGCAACACGGAGCGTTGTGATGCATTTCACTACACGTGCGATGCTTAGTTCCCGAGCCCCCGGGCGGTTCAGGGCCCGAATCGTCCGGGAGGCACGGGCATATGGAATGAATACGCATATGGATGTATGAAATGATTTATAAAGAAATAGAGGGGTTGGTAGTTTTTACCTTGATGACTTGAGTGACGGGGTTTTGGAGAGCTTCAGTCGGAAACGTCCGACAGGGACCCATGCTCGTCGTTCGTGACGGAGTCGACATGGCCTACGTGGGGTGTCCCTTTGCTTCCTACCTGTCTCTCGGTGTGTTTTTCTGAGCCGTTCGATCGACTTAGGAAGCCCGATAGTCTCTCCCAGCGGAGATCCCTTTTTGGGTTTTTCCAAGTCCCGCCTGGGGGTGCGGAGAGATGCCTACGTGTGGTGATGTTTCAGTTTTCATGCCCGGTCGTGCGATAGTGATGGGCCATACCCAGGCCACGTTTCGTCTCACCAGGCGGTGTTCCGTCTGACCCGGCATCGTTCCGTCGGCCAGTGTGCGTCCCATCGTTCAGGGTGTGTCCCATCGTTTTCCATCCGCATTGAATGGGGGAAGGAAGAGAGTGTTTTCGCTCTGATCTTTTGCCCCTCTTCGACTGTCGCATTTCTTCCTTAAATAGGGGGAGGGAGAGGGCTCTCCGTCGTAGTCCTTTGCCTGTTCTCCAACTATTGTCTCTCCTCCTTCTTCCTCCTCACCGAGAGTGCCTGTATGCCATGGCGGTTCCTAAGTGAGAAAGATGGTAAGCTAGGGGGAGGACTTACAGATCCTTTCGTGAATCCAGAGCGCGATGTCGAGCTGAAGGCTGCCCGGGGCGGTGCTGGCCGTCTTTGCCTGAGAAGGGGCGGCTTTCGCCGAAGGGGTGGCGTGCTGGATTCGTCTACGAGGACTTCTTCAGGATGGAGCCGTATGCGGAGGGGAAGTTGCCTAGGATCGTGCTGGTGGAGGGTTCCGCGCCTACAACTGCTCAGGTTGGCCAGTTCATAAAGTTTGATGAGATCTCTTCCAGCCATGGTGGCCATACTTCAGTGGCGGCGTCCCTGCCCAGGAGCTGCCTCGACTGTATGAGAAGGTCCGGAGCCCCATGCTCCTCTGCTGAGCATCTATGAGTGCGGCGCCTTTGAGGTACCCATTGCGCTCGCCGAAGTCGAGGGAACGGAACCGGGCGGGTCCCTTGAGGTACCCGTTGCGCTCGCCGAAGTCATGAGTGGAACCGGGTAGGGGGCCCTGTAGCAGTGGTTATGTCCGGTGGCGAGTGTCGTTTTCCTTTGGCGTCATGCGATGTCGTCGAGTGGTCGTAGTAGTATTTGGAATGGAAGTAGTTTTTAGCAAAAACTATAATAGTTGAGTTCGTGGGTGAGCCCATGTGTGAATAGTTTTCATATTAATGAACACATCAATCCTATTCTTTGTGATAGAATCACTATCCATTCCTTGTTTTTATCCTAGCGTAGCTATTGTTTTTGTCCTTTCTTTTTTGCACCTGCCCATTAGTTTCGTAGGCTGCAGCTTTTTTAAGAACCTGGGCATGGCTCGCGGGGCTCGGCTCCTCGTAACCGCAGGTCGTGGCGGGGTGCGTTCAGTTAGGAGTAAGAACAAAGTTACGTAGGACAGTCAAAGGAAATGGAATGCGCTTCCATTTGGGGACAAAGTTGTTTACCACGTGACAATAAAAAAGAGAGGTAGTATTTGGTATTATACCCTCATGTAGCCCCCGAGCAACCTGGGCTAAAACTATTCGGGTCGGGGTGCTTTATAGGAGCAAGTGTTGATTAAAAAAGCGGTAAGACCAAATTTTAGGGGGGGAAATGACGTAGTTGTTCAATGTTCCAAGTGTTGGTGAGAACGTTGCCGTTGTCGTCCTCCAGTCGGTAGGTGCCCAATCGGATTACTTCGGTCACCGTATAGGGTCCATCCCATGGTGGAGAGAGTTTGTGTTTTTCCTTTGTCGATTGGGTCCTCTAGAGTACGAGATCGCCGACTTCGAGGATTCTCCCCCTGATCTTTCTTTCGTGGTACCTGCGGAGAGTTTGCTGATAGCGAGCGGAGCGGATGACGGTCGTCTCGTGGGCTTCCTCGAGCAGGTCGACTGCATCTTGCTGAGCCTTTGCGGCTTGGTCATGGTCGAAAGCCTTCACTCTTGGGGCACCGTGGTCGAGGTCGGAGGGCAGCACTACCTCAGCTCCGTAAGCCAGGAAGAAGGGTGTGAACCCTGTGGATCAGTTCAGGGTCGTTCTCAGGCTCCAGAGGATTGCTAGGACCTCTGCCACCCATCGTCCGGCGTATTTGTTCAGTCGATCGAAGATGCGTGACTTGAGTCCTTGGAGGACCATGCCATTGGCACGCTCGACCTAACCGTTGGTTCGTGGATGTCCGACGGAGACCCAATCGATCCTGATGTCGTATCCATCACTGAAGTCTAGGAACTTCTTTCCGATGAAGTTAGTTCTGTGGTCAGTGATGATATAGTTAGGAACGCCGAACCGGTAGACAATGTCGAGGAAGAATTTGACCGCCTCTTCCGAGCGGATGTTGATGATGGGCTTGGCCTCTATCCACTTGGTGAACTTGTCGACTGCTACGAGTAGGTGAGTGAAACCGTCTAGACCCTTTTTGAGGGGTCCCACCATGTCAAGGCCCCAGACCACGAATGGCCAGGTGATGGGGATGGTTTGGAGCTCATGTGCCGACAAATGCGTTTGCCAAGCATAGAACTGTCATCCTTCACATCTGCGAACGACTTCCTCTATATCTCATAGCGCGGTGGGCCAGTAAAAACCTTGGCAAAAGGCTTTTCCGACCAGCGACCTTGGGGCCGCGTGATGTCCACAAATCCTGACATGGACCTCGAGGAGGAGCTGCTTCCCCTAGTCGGTGGGGATGCACTTCATGAGCACTCCTGATGGACTCCGTTTGTAGAGTACGTCACCGAGCACGGCGAAGGTTATGGCGTGTCGAGCGATCCATTGAGCTTTAGTCCTTTTGGGTGGAAGGACCTCCTTGAGGAGGTAGGCGAGTAGCGGTGCTCGCCAGACGGTTTGATTGAGTGCCAATACAGCAATATCGGCGGGTGACGCCGTCATGGAGGTACTGGGATTGGAGTCCCCGAGCGCTGGCTTGGCGCTGGGGTCGGAGCCCCCGTGCGCTGGCCTAGTGTCGGGGTGTGTTTGGGTCGGACCTTCCAGGATGCGGGCAGATGGCTTGTGGAGATCGTTGATGAAG